ACCCTAGACTAGTATAATTTAGATTAGATTAAGTTCAATTTAGGTTAAATTAACTTGAATAAGTCAATCAATTCGGAATCACCCTGAATTGATCTAGACTAATCAAGTATAGTTTAATTCAATCAATATTTGGGCTCAAGTTCAACAATAATATTGGGCTAGATTGAGCCAGTCCATCTATTGGTCATGTGCATTATACATGATTGAGCATGCATTACATAAAACTGGCCCAGCCTTGGCCCATGGACTAGTCATAGCATATACCCATTAACAACATATATGAAAACATAATAATGCATTAAAAGATAGATGAGGAGAAAAGTTTTAATACAAAGAAATAACATTCTCAATTTGACTAGAAATCATAAGACATTAAAAGAGGGACTAGGAGATAAGTTTTAACAGAAGGAAATAACTTTCTAAATTCAAATAAAAATCATGTTTTCAACACATAAAATTTCAACATATTCTAGTCATATTTTAAATCATTCAGAATAATATATTTTAAATTTCAGATCAAAGAATATCAAAAAGGGATTTTAGATAACATATTCTAGTCTAACAAGATTTTAATCCAGATAAGATTAAAGATAAACTGTAATACAAAAAATATATCATATAAAACATATACTTTTTTAATATATTTAATTCTACAATAAAAACCTTAATCATGGGTCAAAGAATATTATGAAAACTTTAACTGATTACTTTAATACAAAAAAAATTTGACATTTAAAAAATTGATACACATTTTTCAAACTATAAAACTTTCAACATTTAAAGAATCAAAATAAAAGCTAAAACTTTTAAGAAAGGTAGGGAAACCTACTTCTTGTCAATAGGGTGTAACTCCTCGTTTTCTTGTCAACAGGGTGTAACTCCTCGTTCTTCCCGCTGCCAGGCTCGACTAGGTGAGGAACGAAGGAGGAGGTGAGCCTCTATTAAGGGAAATAAATTTTAATTTTCGTATTTATTTAATATAAATTATTTTCATTTAATATACTACCAAATATGATATCATCATATTTGGAATACTTACTAGTTATTTCCTTAATTCATATCAACAAACAAGGAAGTAGATTAGGATTTCCTTAAATTATAATAACAAGTAAGGAAAGAAAATCAATTCATAACTTAAATATTTGATGTGATTACAATTATAGACCAAAAGGAATATGATGGGGTCAAAAAATCAAACAGAGAGTATTTCTCATAGGAATAAGAAAGCAGGAAGAGAAAAGAGGGTAGAGAAGCGACAAAGAAGGAAGTCAAAAGAAAAGGGTAGTGAAGGCAGCAGGAGGAGAGGAACAGGAGTAACAAAACACAGAAGAGTAGGAAATAACACAACAAAATAAAAGGAGCATCGGTAGAGGAACAGGGAGCCAAAAAAGAGAAAAGAAACTATTTTATTGAAAAAAAAAAGATAAAAAGGAAGTTTAGGAAAGCAGAAAGATGAAAAGCAAGATATCCAACTATCCAAGTCATCAAGAAGTGGAGGTATGACTAACAAAATGAGATAAACATGAAATACAGGAGACATAGCATAAGAATTGTGAGGAAGAGATGATTAAGGGCACAAACACCTGGAATAGCAAGTACTTCACAACAATGATGTGTTTAGAGAAAAAACTATGGAATGCAGCAGAAGCTAGCAATTTGTGACAGAACATGTATTTCAAATCTGCAAAAGATTTACAGTTTAGACGTATGTATCGATCAACAACATGCTCTTCCACCTAGATCTACTGCACAAGGAAATTCCTTCAGTAGGAGGAGGACCTGGACCTGGATACTACAGTAGGTACCGGAATTTAAAAGATTACTAACTGATTAAGGCTTACTACTTGGGTTCCTACCAAAGAATCGTCATAACAGCCAGCAGCCACCCGGAAAACCTGAAGCTTAAGAGCTCAGGGTGCTTACATGGAGAAGCAACTCATTAGCAGATGAGAAGCCTGTTAGAATTGGAAACTGATAGGAAGCATCCCAGTAAAGGGACAGGGAATCTAGACTCGATAAGCCTTTTGCTCCAAATTGCATATGCAGTCCCGCAATACAAATCAAGCTACAATAAATCCAATTCATTTAAACACTTACTATTATGTCACAAATCATACTAGAATTCTTAATATGCATATCGTTCTTTAATATCAGGGAAAAAATCGTATGAAGGTGCTATGTAGATCTTCTTGGTGATTTCCACGTTAATACCTCAAGTGCAGCAGTCCCCGAAACCCAGGGTTTGACCTATGTGATGTAGAAGAACTTGAAACGATGATGGCCTCTCGCATTCAAATTATTCACTTAATGTATCAATAATCATTCAGATGCACATGCCTAAACCGTAAAAATGAAGATTCGTTAACTTTTGAAGTATCTCAAAAAAAGAAATTTTAAAAGTGTAGGTTGCACCTTTGTGTCAAAAATTTCGTCAAGACTCAAAAATAGACACAAAAAATCACGCATTTATCATCAACAATAAAACACCGAAACTAAACCACTCCGAACACTTCAACTCGACGAATCGAATCAAAAGAAAAAAAAAAAAAAAAACGCAAACAATGCCATAAATAACATCTTTATACCAACAACCACTTCGATTTCCCTCGAAATACAAGCCAAGAAATTAAATCCGACAACAATCCCTAGAGACCCAACCCCAACGACCAGGATGGAGAAGAAAATTCAAAATAGGGCAACTCTAACCTGGTGGATCGGGGGGTACATCGAGTTGGTGCAGACTTCTCTCCCCCCTTTCGGGAGCGGGAGCGTCGCTCGCAGATGCCTTGGTCGCCGCAAGCACATTTAAATCGAAGTAACACTAAACGTTGCACGGAAATGAGACACCAAATTGAACTGTCGACTTCTCTTTAATTTGTTTTCAATCGAGGAACCACCTTATACTTTTAGCACATCAGAGAAACACCACAAGTTTTTGACTGCTTAGTCACTCAAAAAGAGACGTTTCCACATGAGTGGGCCACAGGAAGCTGCTAAAGCAATGACAAGCAGCAAACAGCATGAATAACTGCTTTGGCACGTACTACTGTTGCTACTGCGACAACAAAGGGACTGATCCACCAGCAGCCAGAATCTGCGTCTCCAGCTTGAACAGAGTTTCCAGCTTGCGCTTCACCAGGAGATACTCCTGCGCCACTTGCTGTAGACATTTGAGGCAACCTTCTTTGCTCCCCTTCTTACAGCTGTTGTGAAAGGCCATGCACACATTTTTGACTCTTCTAGCACCTATGCTGGCACTGCTGCCCATCAACTTGCGGACACAGGCATCCAATTTCTCGAAGTCCACGTCCTGCTGATCTAGGATAGAGCGTAGTCCATTGATGAGCTTCCCAGAGTCTTCAAGGAAAAGAGTCCCGACCTGAAGAACAAACTTAGGTTCGCTCTCATCCTGCAGCTGCTGCAACTGTGTGTACTGATTGTCCAGAAACCCCTCACGGAAGACTACTGATGCGAAGTCAATGTATAGCTTTTGCAATCTATCCGACTCCATGTCTCCTCAGCTATGCAGCAGGGACCAGGCTTCTTCCAGGGAGGGGGAGCTTCTTCACCTTTTCAAAATAAAGCAGCTGTTCGGCAATACGACTCCCAAATTCTGATTCAATGCATCCAATAAAAAGAACAGCAATGGGAGACATATTGTATGTCTGTGTGCTCATAGTGTATCAGCTATATATTGGATATTCATGCTAACTTTAAATTTAGAGAAGTAACTTTGAGAAACATATATCTATGCAATTTTTCCATTAAAATGAAAGACAAGAAGCATTAAAATTGCAAAAAAAAGAAAACTTGCTAATTATGAACACACAACACACACAACTTTTTATGTGATCCCAAGGCAGCTGGAGATGATGAGCTGAGTTGAAAGCCAAGTAGTAAAATGACTCTCCAAATGCTGAATGATGAGCTTATTAACGTAGATGCGTTTAAGTCAACTAATAAGGTTTTCCAAGACTGACCCGCTCTCTTTGTAAAATGATTTCGGAACTGGTTGCTTAAACATCAAGAACAGCGAAATCCTATAATCACAAATAGAACGCATGCAGCAAGAAAACGAACCAACATTTCACAAGCAAAGCCAGCAAAAGCCTCCCAAAACCTTGAAACCATCATCAGATAACAGATTAAACGCCTCCTCTGATCCGAAAACCGACCAAGAAACATACAAAACCTAAAAGAAAGCAAGCCCACGTGAAATAATCAACGACGAGATGCGGTGGAATTTTCTTGTCGCGCTGATACCTTCGACGCGTGGTTCATTCGACAAGAGTGCGAACCGTCTCGCATCCAAGAAACGATTAATAAACACGAAAACCTAATGCAGACCGTGTAAGAACAACAAGGTGCGGCAAATGGCATCAAGAAAGAAGGTTCCGGCTGGATCTGACTTTCTTGATGCTCCGTAACTATGCAAGGTTGCATAGCTGCAGAGAGCATCCGAAGATCGAGAGAGAATACCTCCTGCAAAGAGTCCGGCGACCGCGGGAACGAACTTTGACCCCAAGAACGACGGTGGAGAACACGAGAATACCTCCGACCATGAAAGGGAGAGCGAGAGATGAGAGGAGTCGAAGCGCCGGAAACAGAGCGAGAAATGGGAAATGGGGGGAGGGAGTCCCGTTCGTTGGCGCTACAAAATGGCTTGCCTCTACGGTGTTAATACCGTGCAGTTTATGTCCATCCTGCGACACAATTTCCGTTACACTGCCTCGGTAATCATACCGCGAATGTGCGTATACTGTTCAGTTCGCGTTGCTCGTCAAGTACACTTTCAGTTAAGCTGACTCGTCAGGTCGTCCATCCACCTAGCGACGCGTGGACAGAGACATGGCGGGAGTCACGTGGATCGCCATGTGTCATAAATGGGTCCGGATCTTTGTTTGGGCCCGAGTCCACAGAGTCGTCCAAACACGGCCCAACTTCGAACATTAGTGTTGTCCAGCCCGAACCAACCGAGAGGTAAAAAAGTGACGCAGGGCGTCGTTGCCCCTCGTTCCGATCGATCCCTTCGAGCTCGGGGGGGCGACTTGCAACGATGAATCGGCCCCGCGGCTTCACCCTCCTCGCGGTCGTCCCTCTTTTGTTGGTGCGGTTGTACACTCCGAGTGCGATCGAGTCGCCCCAGTACACCGTCGTACACTCCGAGTCGGACTTCGAGGTGCGGTTGTACAGGGAGTCGGTGTGGATGTCCGCTCCCACGGACGAGATCTCGTTCGAGAAAGCCACCAAATTCGGTTTCCACAGGTAGGAGCAATCACAATCCCCTATAGTTATTGCTCATTTAATTGATCCTGAGATGATGTTTACTGGGTAGGTTTTGATATATTTGGGAGAATCATATCAAAGTGAATTCTTTTCCGGTCTTCAAATAAGCATTTCTGTTGGAAATTCGAGGTCAAGTTAGTTCGACGATAAAATGAACCATGCCTCGTCAAACAAGCGCAATATTGGACACCAAATAGAAAAATAAAATGCTTTTTTTTTTTCTCTAAAGAACACCCATGAATTGGACCCTCTCCTTATGTTTCTTAATGATCATGTATGAAACTAGAAAATTTGATTTCAGAAGACGAACAGACAACCCGTACATCGTAACGAGTCCTTTGACTTAATCCATGGATAGCCCTTTTCTACTCGAGCCATCTCATTATGCCCAAATATTAGGTCGACTCTAATATCAAATATCACGACTCAGGTTTGATGGGCTAATTGGTCTATCAACTTAATTTGACATAAACCACCGACCATAATATTTAAACTGAAATTGATAGTAGTTCACTTATCAGACTCATATAAGTCAATCTTAGTCTTATCCACTTCCAATGTAGAACTAATCGGTATGTCATAATCTCCCTGACTCAAGGGCTCGATGTCCTCGTCAAAGCCCAACATATCTCAAATCAAACCCTAATATGGTGCATGTAAGGTGTAACCCAATGGTGGCACCACATTGTAACGAGTCCTGTGACTCCATCTGATAGGGGTAATAATGGCGACATGACGTGTCACGACGTCGGTCTCACCTGGGTGCCACTCTGCCCGAGGAGGAGGGCAATAATGCTGACTCGACACGCCCTGACGTCATCCGCTCTCAGACAACGACTTCATCATTGTCTGACCCCGCACGCTTGACCGAGGCAGAGGAGGACGACGACCGACCCTCGCCCATACCCTGCGGCAATTCGGTTCTCCACGCAACGTCAATAGCAATGTCAGACGCCATAAGAGGTACGATCCTGCCTCCCGTAGGTAGGCACATCAGGTAATACTAAACTGCCCTATAAATACCCTCGAGTTCTAAACGAGGGGGAGGACACTTCTTCACTAGAAAAACTCCCTTCCACATCATCTGACTTGATCGTCGGAGGGGTCGGGCCGAGCTTTCGACCCGACCTGTGTGCAGGAACAAAGGCAAGGTCGCACCTTCCCGGCACCGCGGTGAGGCTCCACTCCCACGCTACATCCCATCCGGACCATCGCGACCGGCCACCCCAGCTGCCCCGAGGAGCGCCGCGCCAGATCCCCGCGCATTCGGACCTGAACCAAGCCGCGTCGGCCCCGAGGCCACGGCATACAGTTGTTTCCTGCAACATTTTTGGCGCTAGAAGGAGGGCCCCGAATGTCGAGCGATCAGCAGATCCAGTCTGGCGAACCCGCAGCCATGGGGTTACGTCCGGTCAGCACCCCAGAAGATCATCCCCCACGTGATGAACTCCGAGACGAACGCCCCGCCGCAACGTCAGAGCGCTACTGGCGGCTGTTCAATGACCCGGGTTTGTCGCCACCCGACGTCCCCGTCGGCCCGCCGCCTGTTTCGCCCGAAGCCTTCCACGACCTTGCTCACTAAGTCCGAGCACTGGCGGGCGTGATGCAGACTATCATCCCGCTCGTCTCCCAACCGACGCCCCCACATTCAACCCAGCCTTTGCAATAGTGTGAGCTCCCCGCCCGGACGCATGCGCCACTCCTCGAGTGCCCTATTTCGCCTCAAAACCAAACAGCCCAGCTTGGGGACCGAGAGGCGGAAGGCACGTCGAGTCGCCCGGAGCCTGAGGTGCCCTCCGCGGACTTGACGAACGCCCTACGAGCCCAGTTGCGCCTCTTCAATCAACGCCTCGACGAAGTATAGTAGGAGGTTCGCAGGTCGAAGGGGGAGCTCGGAACGGACGGATACCAAGGGTCACCATTCGCACCCGAAATACAAGATCAAGTGATTCCACCACACTTCCGGCTCCCATCGCTGGACGCCTATGACGGCGCCACTGACCCCGCAGATCACGTAGCCGCATTTCGTGCCCAAATGGCGCTATATGGAACTTCTGACGCCTTGATGTGCAGGGCGTTCCCAACGACCTTGAGGGGATCGGCCCGCGCATGGTACGACGGCTTGAAGACCGGGACCATCTCTTCCTTCGATCAGCTCGCCCGAGACTTCGAGCTCAACTTCCTGGCCTACGCCCGTCCAAAGTTGTCCGTGGCGTTGCTCCTCGGACTCAACCAAAGGGAGGATGAGCCCCTCTCCCATTTCGTGAACCGTTTTACGACGCAGATCCGAGGGCTCTCAGACGCTCACCCTTCTCTATTGATGCAGGCATTCATGATAGGCCTACGACCCTCCAGGTTCTTCTGGTCTCTGGTGGAGCGGCCTCCCACGACGGTACCCGAGATGCTCCAGCAGGCGAGCCAGTTCGTCGCCGCGGAGACATGGATGGCCGGGAGGCGCGAAGAGCACAAGAGGGTCAAGCCAGAGCCGCCCCGGCAGCAGCAACCCGCTGCATCTCGGCGTAGGTTGGACAGATCCGACCCGTCGGCATCGAGGCCCCCTCTCCCCGCCTTGAACTCATCCCGAACGAAAATATTCCTCCACATAAGGGAAAAGGGACTGCTCAAAGAGCCTTACCCGATGAGGAGTCCGCGGGCGCTGGCGGACCAATCGAAGTACTGCCGCTTCCACCGGCAACATGGGCATGACACTGAACAGTGTCGGGAGTTAAAAAGGCAGATCGAGGAGCTCATTCGTAGGGGACACCTCGGCCAGTACCTCCAGCCGGACAAGGAACTTTCACCGCGTCCGGAGGGTCCCATCGAACGACACATCGACGTAATAGCTGGCGGCCCCGCGTCTGGTGGGGATTCCATGACCAGAAGGAAGGCGTACGCCCGAGTCACTCCGGCCGAAGCTCCCAGGCACGGGCCCGAGCCTAATGTCACTTTCCTGGCTGGAACATCCGAACAGGCCGAGCACGACGATGCGCTCGTGATATTGGCCAGAATAGCCAATGCACAAGTAAGAAGGATCATGGTCGATACCGGGAGCTTGGCCGACATACTCTACTTCGACGCCTTCCAAAAGCTCGGCTTATCCGGAGATAACATGAAGCCGATATTCTCGGCGCTCACCGGATTCACCGGTGATTCAATCTCGCCGCTAGGGGCAATCACTTTACCCTTGACGCTGGGAGCCCCGTCGAGGTCGAAGACAGTGATGACCACCTTCTTGGTGATCGACCTCCCCGTTGCATACAACGCCATTCTCGGTCGGCCGACCCTCAACAAAATCAGAGCCGTCGTCTCAACCTACTACCAAACTGTGAAGTTCCCGACCCACGCCGGGACCGGAGAGGTCACGGGAAGCCCCCGAGAATCCAAGCGCTGCTACCTGACCTCGGGTTCTTTGTTACACTAAGTCTTCTAAAGAGATTTTCGATATGGCTATAAATTTTTATTGATAATGATTATAAATTTATATACATAAATAAAAATTATAAAAATATAATAATTATATATTTTATTTAAAAAATAATTATAAAAATATTTATTAAATTATTTCATAATTTCAGAAATTATTTTGAGATCTAATCTTTATTATTGATAAAATCAAGATAATATTTTATAATTTAAAATTATAATAATATATTCTCCAAATATCTTTGAAATCGTGATAATCTTATCTCAATGATATCGATATTATTTCATAATTTAGAAAAACATGTTCTTTATTATTGATAGAATCATAATAATATATTATTATAAATTTTATAATTTAAGATTATAATAATATAATATTAAAATATTCAAAAGATCGTGATAAATCATATCATAGTTTATAATAATTTAGAATCCCTTTATCGTGATCTCGATTCTTTACTACACTAACTCATCATAAATTAACGGTAGAATGACTCACTAATTTTTTGATATGGATATAAAGCTCGCATGATTTTACTGTACCGATGTTTATGACTCACTAAATTTTTATTGATAATTATTATAAATTTATATGCACAAATAAAAATTAAAAAAATATTTATTCAATTATTTCATAATTTCAGAAATCATTTTGAGATCTAATCTTTATTATTGATATAATCAAGATAATATTTTATAATATGAAATTTTAATAAAATATTTTTAAAATATCTATGAGATCTTGATAATCTTATTTTAATGATTTCTATATTATTTTATAATTAAAAAATATTTTCTTTATTATTGATAGAATCATTGTAATATATTATTATCAATTCTATAATTTACGATTATGATAATATAATATTAAAATATTAAAGAGATCGTGATAAATAATATCGGAAACTAATCTTTATTATTGATGT